AATATATCTATCATTTTATATTATTTCTAATTCATATTTGTTTACAAAGTTATTATATTCACTGCGACAGTTTGCTTTTAATTATCGTAATTTACGTTTATCGTCAAATCATTTTTCCCACTTTCTACATTTTAATGGCATATATAAGCAGCAACCTAATATTTGTAAAATATATCATTGTAAATTATGATTGAAGTTACATATTCTAATATGTAATAATAATTGTAGTAGTAACCATGTTGTACATATCTAAAACCTTGAAAATTTTGTGCAAGTTATTTTGCATTCTAATTTCTGTTACTAATTTCTAAGGAATTATGACAGTTCCAATGTGTGATAGTAAATATGGTCTTGATATTAACCCTTTGCATTTGCATGTTAAATAATTACAATGAAAGGATTAAATTAACCAATGATAAATGGTACATAGATCTAGAATATAGATATTTATTGAAGAATACTTAACTTAAGAGGTCAATGGAATATTCTCTTGAATAGCTTTCAAAAGAGACATTGTAACCGCAGTAAAAAAATAACAAGTGCAAGGGATTTATATAAAGACTTTGAAATCAAATTGAGTTAATAACAAACATATATCCATAAGGATGAATCAAGTTTAAATGCTGCTTCAAACAACTTCAGTTGCATCCACCAGTGGTTGATTGGCATCTACTGCAGGACCTATCACAGCAGTGCTGTAAAAGATTTGAAAAGTATTTAATTAAATTTGATATCACAACTACAGACTGATTAGAAGAATTTGTCATGTAAATGAATTTATATAAATAACTTACATAATCATAAAGTTATTAAATACAATAAAAGTACAACATTAGATGTGTATAAAGCTGTGATGCATGATTTCATTAAAAAGCACGTGTTTAAGTTAGCACTTCAGATTGTAGTTCCACAAAAAGCATTGAACTGTTAGTAAACATAAACAAAAATTATAAACATGCAGTAATACAAAACTCAACTTTGCCATAGGTGATTTTTTATATTTTTTTCATGTATGTTAAATCAAATAATTATTTAATTTTTGATGAAATATAATTTGTCAATTATATTTTTACTATGAACTTTTTTATATTAAAAATTAATATTACATGTAAATTACGTATACATTTCATATAATAGAAACGGAAATATTAACATTACAATAATTAGTCAAGAAGTATTTTTAAAAATTACTGACTGCAAAATTAAAATGTTAATATTTGTAATTTATAGTAAACTGTTCATTTTACACAGGAAACCTTAAAAAATGTATATTTTATTTCAGAAAAGAGAAATTTGTCAGTATTAATAATGTACAGAAATTAGACACACTTTTAACCAAACAATTTAATATTACCCAGTGCCAAGTGCCAAAATTGTAGCTTCTTCTACCAATGTCATTTGATCAATGGCGGACCTGTAGCCAAAAACTCAACCTAAATATTCCATTAAGTATACATGTAGATATGCATATACATTTGTATGAAGAATGAAACTGTAATATAAACCAATTAAAGGTTGTATATATCATTAACAAAACGAAGCATATGATGTTTGAAATACAACATAAAACTAAAAATTTATTGAAAAATTCATGTTAACAAGAATATAATGCACTTAGCGACATGCTTTCTTCTAAATTAATGAAAACATAATCA